AAGCACTTGCCTCTGTTTTCGTGCAGGTCGTTCAGGTTGGTGATGTCGTGAGCACGCGAATCTACGTGAAGATCTAAAACTCGAGGCGTCTGAAGTGGACACACATTTCTTCAATCGACAATCACTCTGATTTGCATTCCTACCGAAAAAATATACATAAATGCGCATGTGCATAATAAAATCTAATTCTTATTCTAGTCAATGGGTTTACGTGGAAACAGTAGCCTTGCTTCGCCGCAGCCCCCGCCGTCTCATCAACAGCTTTTAATGGATTTGGGTTGGTTTGGGCTTAGCTAGCAGGAAGAGGTTCGTTAGATGCGACCACGGCGCTCTCGTGATTGTCGAACGACTGCGTGAGTGAGCGCAAACACAACGTGCGTGTGTTGACCAGGGCCGCCGTGGGGGTGGACCAGCAATTTTAACCCAGTTTTGCCTATGTTTACATCACCGTCTCCAAGTTTTGTGTTGGCGTTGCACTCACGAGGTGGCAGCTAGTTATTAATGGAAGCTCATATTCATTAAAATTTGGGCTATTCTTGTAAAATTCTCGATTGACCACAGCCGGATAATCGAGGAAGCCGTCAAATTCGCCTATCGCGAGTTTGAGTCATTGGGAGCCGGTACTGAATAAGGAGGTCGTTCTGCAAACATCCGTTTGCGATTTTTAAACGGTTACTCCAAAAGTGAAGTCGAGTGTGGATTTGGGGAGGATCATGTCGGCTGGGACCTGTTTGCGGGTGAGTACTCTGACCTTTCATGCATCGTCCTGGGACGCGAGATCGACTCGGAGCATGTCTTCTTAACGCCGATACCAGGACTCAAACGTTACGCCGCTCTTAGGATAAGAGGAGAACTCCGAGGTACTGTTAGTGAGGACGTCAATTGACGGTTTACTGACGGGAGCGGCCTAAGACGGCTAGCGATCTGCAAGCATTGATACTCGCCGCTCGGGAAATTATTCCATCCCTATGAAACTCATCTGAAAGTCAAATCACTCCTGCGTCACCAAATTTGCTACTTTTGGCCATAACAAAGAGAAAAACACTATAATAACGGTACTAGATCGCTACTGATGCTAGAACCGACCTTCCCCGGCATAAGGAACAGGTAGGCCTCCATCGAATTTGACCTTCGCATAAATTCACAGAAGAGCTAGTTACAGATTGGTCACCAACACTAACAATAACTTAGTTACTGCTGTGTGAGAGTGCGTGTTAGAACAGATGGACTGTGAGAATGCGGTGACTCAGAAAGGGAATAATCATCAGTTTCAGCAAAATTATGCAATTGAATTAGATCAATTCACTATAGGCTTGTTGTTTACAAACGCAGTCGACATATAGTCTCTTCCAACGTCGAATCGACAGATTTATCGTAGATGAACCTACGAGACCAGTTGTAGCCGGCAGGATACCTGGAATGTTGACAGCATGTTTGATCAAAATAGGCTACTGGTCGTCGCCAATGCTCGGTGATCCGGCTGAGACGAATTAGCAAAGCAGAAGAACGAGGATCTTGGCAACAAAACCTACACGGAAATGTTAATGCCTGAATGTTCAGCTCTAGATTTATCGGACTGGTTTCACAGATATTTTGATGGAAAAATTAGATTAAATTCAAGTTAGAGATTAATGCAAAAATTCCGCATCATGCTGCGTTCATCGGATCAACACAATGAACGCCAGCAATATGAGTCATTTTTAATCAGAGATAGTGGTCCTCTAATCGTCCGTGATGCCAGCAGAATTGACATGGGAAAGAACAAGGGTGTGCTTGGTTAATTGCCCTGTCCCTTCGATCCATAGTTCGTGCCTTGGTCGATAGTCACGAACGTACACGAGTGCTCCCATTTCAAATGGCGGGTTAGATTTCGTACTCGGTGGCTCCAAGCTGTTTTCCAGTACCGGAATCATTGCGAAATTCGTCGTCCGCAATTTTCGACCCATGAGTGCCTCAGATGGCGACTGTCTATTTAGTAGAGCCTCGTTTGGAGTTGTACGATGCACCAGCAAAACATTTTGTAGGCTTTTGCGAATATTCTTCCTTCCACACGGGATTTTAGCGGATCTCGCTTCAATGCGTTGACGGAACTTTCCACCCGTCTGCTTTACTGTGGATGGTGGCGTTAGGAATGTATGTGTGTAATCGCATGCTGTCGACAGAATTCCTTGAAGAGTTGGGAGGTGGACTGTGATGGTTTCGGGAGTACCAAGCTGGCTAAAAATGTCTGGCAGAACCTGCAATGTCCTCGTCGTCATTGGGTCGATCTCCGGCCATTTTGAGTAGTCGCTCCAGCAAAGTCGATATGGATCCGTGACCAGGGTTATTGTGCCTGTGGCCAAGGGACTGAAGGAAACTTGGAAGGGTTCTTGGCGGCCTGCTGGCTTTCGTAGCAACTCTTGACTAGGTCTGCGATTTGCTGATCCAAATTTGCCAGAGAGCCAAGCTGCGGGCGATAGACTTCATGCGACCTATGCCGGGATGACGAGTGTGAAATTGACGAAGAACCGCAAGCACAGTTATTTTGGCATCACAACGCGTTCTCCGAACATCAGGCAGCCGTCCATAATGCAGAGGAAATCGCGTCGCTGGATCAAAAGCTGAAGACCTGAGGTGAAGGAAGGCTTTGGCCATTTGTCTTGGACGTAGCGGATGGCCTGCCGTGGTGTGATATCTGATGGCGTTTCCCGATTGATGTCGAAAATTGCAACCGGCAACGCACGAACTGTTTGAGATATCTGCTGAGTGACACTTTCGTGAACGTAGATGGCGGCGATGATAGCGTCTTCCTTGCCAGTGGACGGGTTACTGATTAGTCATGATAGGACGTCTGCCTGCCCAAAGTCCGCTGTTTGATGATACTGGATTTCAAAGTCGCAAGCCAGTAAAATAAGTAACCACCTTTGCAGGCGGTTTTCGAAATGAGCTGGTATGCCTGTTTTTGATCCAAAAATTAACCTCAGCGGCTTGTGGTCTGTCGCCAGTATGAATCATCGGCCATAAATTAGTTTGTGGAAACGGCGGACAGCGAAAACCAAAGCGAGAGCTTCTTTCTAAATTTGTCCGTAACGCTGTTCTGTCGTTGTCAGCGCCCTGGATGCGTGCATTATGGCCATTTCTGTGCCGTCGGGGAAGACGTGGACGATGACGGCTCCGATGCTTTTGTTGGAGGCGTCAGCTGAAATAACATTTGTTAGAGCTGGATCACAATGTGTGAGCAGCAGGTCCGAACTGAGTATTGATTTCAGTTGACAGAAGGCCGCCTCGCACTAGCTGCATTAAAGTCAAGGTGCGTCCTTTCCAAGCAATTGATTCAGTGGTGTTCGGACATTGTGCGTGGACGGTAGAAAAGCCGAGTAATAGCTGTTTACTCCCAAGAAGGAGGGCAGTGAGGGAACATCTTTGGTAGTCGGCATTTGTTGAATGGCGCGGATATTCTCAGGGTCCGGATGCCGGCCAGAGCCATCAAAGATGAAACCCAGATACTTGACAGAAGTCAGGAATAACTGGCATCTTTCTTGGCGAAGTCTGAGTCCGTTGTCGTGAATCCGTTGGAGGACTTCTTCGATCCGCTCGCATAATTCATCATGCAAACTAGCTACGATTAATGGTACGTCGAGGTATGCTGCCACTCCAGGAATGCCGGCCAGAATGCTGTCCATAATCTGTTGAAAAATAGCAGGAGCGCTATTGACTCCGAAGAGTAGGCGGTTGTACTGAATAAACCGCGATGGGCATTGATGGTTAGCAGTGCACGGGAGTCTGGAACGATCTTCAGTCGCAGGTAGGCATCGGGCAGATCGAGTTTTGCCAGGTACCTTCCGCCTCTCATAATTGTGAATGGTCCTCTGGGGCTGGTAGAGGGCAGTGGTGCGGTTCCAGAGCTGCATTTAGACCAGTGGAGAAGTCTGCACATATCCGGTTTGAACCATTGACCTCCATTACCACAACAATGAAAGTGAATTTCACCGCCGCAAGCTCTGATTGCCATTTCAGAGGTGTTCCTGAGTGGAGGACTTCCGATGGAGCGCCATTGGGTTTCCGAGATAATGGCAACGTATGAGGCTGTGTCTAGGTGCAGGCGAACTGGATGGTCATTGATGAGGACGGTTGTATGCATCCTCTGCTATTGTGAATTGTCTTCGCAGGTGACTCGAAGGCTGAGGGATGCGATAGTGGGGCTGGCTGGTTTGGCTCCTGACCTTTCTTTCGTGTGATGGTGGTGGTGCCATCCACTCCCGTTAGACGAGGATGATTGTCAATATCCGTTTTTGTGGCCCCTAGCTTTCCATCGCTGGCGTTGATGCTGTTTGTAAGGGCAGAACTTGACATGATGCCAGGCTCCACAGTGCCAACACGTGGAAGGAGGAGGTCTGTCCCTTGATCTCCTTCGACGCACTGTGTCGGCTGATTCTTCGCTGTATTTCAGCTGAGGGGTGCATGGAGGGCCAGAAGTGGAAGGTGGTTTGTGGATACTTTGGATACGTTGGACCTTATTGACTTCAGTAGCGCTGTGGTTCCCAGCTTGGACCATTCTAGAGTCATGCAGCACGCTTCTTCCGTGTAGGTACACATCGCGGATATTGTCCAGGGTCACAGACGGCTTTTGGTTAATCAGGTGTGGTAGCCACGTTTGCGGATCCGTGTCTTTGATATTTGATGGGTGCATATGAGAATGAGAGTTTTGAGCTATTCATCAGTCATTGATTTGAATTGACTTTTTTCGCACTCTGGATTGACCACAGCCGGATGGTGAAGGAATTCATCGAATTCCCCCTATTGCGAGTTTGAGGCATTGGTACCGGGTACTGAATAAAGGGGTCGTTCTGAAAACATCCGCTTGAGATTTTCAACAGTTTCTCCAAAAGTGAAGTCGTGCGAGTATTTGGGGAGGATCGTGTGTGTGTATTTCTTCAGTTCGGCTGGGACCTGTTTGCGGATGAGGAGTCTGACCATGCGTCATTCTGGGACGCGAGATCGACTTGAAACTGGTCTTCGAAACGCCGATTCTAGGACTTAAACGTCACACCGTTCTCCGGTCAAAAGCAAGCTCAGAGATACTGTTGGTGAGGACGCCAATTGACGTTTACTAATGGGAGCGGCCTGAGATGACTACTTAATAGCATGCATTGACACTAGCCGCTCGACTAATTGTTCCATGTGTCGCCAAATTTGTTACGTTTGGCCTTAACAAAGACAAGACCACTCAATTATCGGTGCCAGATCCCCTGCTGAAGCTAGAACTGA